TTGTCGAGGGATCCTAAAAATTATTACAATGGCCACAAACACAAATCACACAAGTTTTACGTGGTTTGGTAAATTGCCTACGTCCACGGGACAAGGAGGGGGGAGATCTACTATTAGAGGGAGAGAATACAACTAGGGTTTACAATCACTCAATCTAAACCCTCACACAAACTCTCAAATCCCTAACACAAAGGCTCTCTCAAAACAGCAAAACAAAAATCTCTTTTTCTTTCTACAGCCGCACGCCACAAACCCTTGCACGCAGCCACAAAGAATCACCCAACTTCTGTTTTGCTTTTTCTTCGTAGCGGCCAAAAAAACTCCTGCACACCCTCAACTTCGTACTTGCACACTAGCCCTAGGGATTCATTGCTATTATTTATAGCAATTATACATCGAGTCTTCGGGTGGGCTGGTTTCATTCAGGAAACAAAAAAATAAATGCGTGGTCCCCACGCGCTGTGGAAACAAATCCGAAACCAAAGCATCCTATTTATTTGCTCCGCATTGAGAACGTTGATGTGGTCCCCACACCTCATGTTCACAATTCTTCACCTCGGCGAAGTTTTTCCAAAACTGAACCGACACTAACCAAACCAAATGTCTCACTTGTTGCGTCCAGTACGCCATGGCAACGGACTCATGACAACGGACTTCATCCATAACAAGTCGAGACCCAAATGGGAGTGCGAACACTCTCCCAAAACGTCGGTATCTACTCACCAAATCGATCTCACCCCCATCAAAATCCAACCCGGCTGCATCATAAAGACTGCCTACGTATCCTCTTGTCCAAGGAATCAAGCCGAACGTAGTTCACCCAAATGACCGCAAACGACCTCAATCTAATAGAAGAGTTCGCAACACTTCTCCAATATCATCAACTCTGCGGCTGATAGCACCTCCAATGGCCTCAAACACCTCCACCTGAGGTGAACTAATGACCATATCCAAACTATGTCTGCCAGCTGCACTCAAATCAACTAACTCATCATCTGCATCCAAATCCAAATGATATCCAAACTGTGTCACCTCAACTGGAATCCCAAACAATGCAGTATGATCTGGATAATCTTCACCCAATGTGGAGTAGCATCACTCTCCACCCGCTGCGATACATCTAAGGTCTGTCCAAAACTCTCCACCTGCTGAGAGTCAATTGGCTTCCTCATCGAAGCCTCATCCAAAGTGACACAATCAGACCTATCTTCCAATAGAGTTTTACCTCCAATCACAGCAGTTGACAACTCTTTAGTAAGATGGCTCGAATATGTCGAAGCCTCAGTCCAGAAACTCTTCTGCAGACCATTGCTTGACAACAAACACTGATCCTCCTCTAGTAAGGCACGGTTCTCCAAATTTACCACTCTATCAAGTTGCCCTAAGATTTCCTTTCCAACGAAGTGTCTCACAATGCCGTGAGCTCGGCTCCAATACAGAACTAGGTCCATCTTGTACCTCCCACCAAAATCAGAATGAAGTACCTTCACCTTTCTGTCCATCTTACACTTCTTCAAACTGTTAGAGACTACTAGAACTTTCTCCAATGGGGATTTGGTTGCGCCTAGAACAGTCATCAACAAAGGAAACCAAACGCCTATTACCTCCCAATGATGCCCCCTTGGAGGGCCCCCAAACATCCACGTGAACTCCTCCAGAACGATCCTTAGCACGGTGAATAGAGGTGCCAAACTTTACCTCGGTCTTCTTGCTCACATCAACATATTCACTGGACTTCAAACTGCAGGTCTTCGCATCCTTTCAATCTATACGAGGAATCAATACTGGAATGACCAAGCCCCAAATGCCGCAGTCTAGTCGAATCAATAAAAGTTGCCAGTTCTTTACCTGTCACTATACATCTAGTCAAGTAATACATGTTATTCCTCCTGACGCCCTTCATCACAATCTGAGAGTCTTTCACAATCTTGAGAACCATGTCCTCAAATCGAACATTCAGACCCTCTCCAACCAAAGATCTAATCGAGATCAAGTTCTTTCTCAAAGAAGGAACATATCACACATTATTTAACTCCCTAACAGTCCCGTCAAACATTTTGATGCGAATTCTTCCTATCCCAAGGATCTGGCATGCACGGTTATCAGCCATGTATACCACACCACTATCCAGCTTCTCAAAACTGGAGAACCATTCCCTTCTAGGGCACACATGATAGGTCGCACCACTATCCAACATCCACTCGGATTCCTCCGAATAGCTCCATGTAGGACTGATAGAAAACGAATAAATAGAAGAGTCAGAAATATTATCATCCGATACGATGTTTGCTTCTGATGATAGTTGCTTCACTTTTCCTTCTGCTTATTCTTCATCCATTCGTCGAGCTTTGGGCAGTCTTTCTTCCAATGACCAGTCTCCTTACACCAAGCACACTGATCTTTTCCTACTCTAGACTGTGACTTCCAATTCTTTCGGTTTGGACCCTTCCCTCTTGCAGTCAACGCCTCTGCTACCGACTCAGTCGAAGTCTCCTTATCCTTCTTCCGAAGCTGATAATTCACCAGTGCAGCAGTGACCTCACTATACGAAAGAGATGCATTCTCATTAATCAGAGTAAGGACGAATGTCTCATATTCCTCGTCGGGCAAGGAACTCAACAACAGCAACGCCTTGTCCTTATCTTCAATCATGACATCCACATTCGCCAAATCCGCAAGAAGCTTTGTGTAGTGTTCGTGTGATCTCTAATTGAGGTTCCCTTCTTCAACTGGAACCGATAAAGTCTCCTCTTTAAATGCAAACGGTTCTCAACACTCTTTGTCAGATACTTGCTTTCGAGAATCTCTCAAATCTTCTTTGCAGAAGTCTCATTCATCACATCATATTTTAGATCTTGAGTCAAACAAGACCTAATCACACCACACGCCATTCGATTCATCTTCTTCCAAACATTCTCTTCAATATTATCTGGCTTGCCATCTAACTCCAAGGTATCCTCCAAATTCTGCGCATCCAAAACCTCGCATCTCCATAATCCAAAGTTGTTTGTGCCATTAAACTTCTCCACATCTATCTTCATAGAGTGGATATTCAAACTCTGAATGGTCTTCGCGCTAGAAGCACCACCCTCGACACCCGAAGCACTTTCTTTCCCCGACATCTTTCTCAACGCACCAACGAACGAAGAATAGATCCAAAACTGAAAAGATAGAGTCTTTACCAAAAGATCCAATCTTTATCACCAAACAAAGCCCTAGACAAGCTTTCAAATTGATCTACTCCTCCAAATAGGCCAAGCGTAGCCCGAGCTCTGATACCACTTGTTGTGCGCATCGAAAATTTTGGCAGAGTTTCTGGTGCACAATAAGAGAGAAAGATCAATAAGAATTCTCGTCTCACTAAGGAAACAAGAATCTGAAGCGAATATCTCAACAAGGTGAGATATTGGCTCTTCCTCTCATCAGTTCTAGGACTGACTTGTCGAGGGATCCTAAAAACTATTACAATCGTCGCAAACACAAATCACACAAGTTTTACGTGGTTCGACAAATTGCCTACGTCCACGGGGTAAGTAAAGGGGGGGGGAGATCTACTATTAGAGGGAGAGAATACAACTAGGGTTTACAATCACTCAATCTAAACCCTCACACAAACTCTCAAATCCCTCACACAAAGGCTCTCTCAAAACAGCAAAACAAAATCTCTTTTTCTTTCTACAGCCGCACGCTACAAACCCTTGCACGCAGCCCCAAAGAATCACACAACTTCTGTTTTGCTTTTTCTTCGTAGCCGCAAAAAAAAAAAAAAAACTCCTGCACACCCTCAACTTCGTACTTGCACACTAGCCCTAGGGATTCATTGCTATTATTTATAGCAATTATACATCGGGTCTTCGGGTGGGCTGGTTTCGTTCAGGAAACAAAAAAATAAATGCGTGGTCCCCACGCGCTGTGGAAACAAACCCGAAACCAAAGCATCCTATTTATTTTATTTGCTCCGCATTGAGAACGTTGATGTGGTCCCCACACCCCATGTTCACACCCCTCCCCTCCTCAAATTAAAAATTTAAACATTTTCGGAAAAAGGATGAGGGGTTCAAACAAGAGTACATATTTTATCATAACACCCTATAAAATGGGACGGTCTATATCTTTCACGGGTAGTTAGAGGCTTGTTTGGGAGTTATAATTCTCCTGAGGGATATGTTAGTAATGTTCCATATTTGAGGGGGCTGGGGTCGCGGCAGGGGAGCTGTTAGAGATTTTGAATAAATTGGTAAAAAGGAAAAGTTAAAGGACAAATTTTCAAAACAGTCACATTTACAAAAATATTCCCAAAAAACGATCTCATTTGAAAATAATTGTCAAAACCGATCTAGTTTCAGTCGTCGGTCTGAAACTAGGTCGTTTTGACGAAAAAAACTTTAAAACTTGCTTAATTAAATGTCTGCTAGACTTCACGGAACTTCAAGTCCTGTGAAGTTTCATCGATTTTTAGACAAAAAATTAATGAACCTTCATGGGATTTGAAGTACCGTAAAGTTTAGTAGCCATTTAATTAAGCTACTAAACTTCACGGGATTTCAAGTCGAAGTCCCGTGAAGTTTGGAAACTTCTTTTGCCAAAACAGACCTGGTTTCACCCCGATGGCTGAAACCAGGTTGGTTTTGGCAAATACTTTTGAAAATATCGTTTTTTTTGCTAACAATTAAAAAGAATGGTCGGTTTTAAAAATTTGTCAAAAAAACATACAAATCCGAATCTTAAAAGTGGCATATCCGTTAGGAATCCATTTCATAACAAAACGATCACCACCCGGCTCTGCACGCCCCATTCGAAAGCAATTCCGGGTCCCACCTCTGAGAGACGCAGCTATCGAGTTGGGTCATTTTCGTAATTTCCCCCCGTAAAAAAAGGCAGAAAATGGATAAGAACCAGACCTCATCCTCACACGTGCCACGCAAGCACTCGCTCCCTTTCATCATCACTCTATAAATAAAGAACAAAAGTTGCCGATTTTCTTCCTCTATCATTGATTGTCCCCCCAAATTCAACGCCGTTTCGATCTCGATAATTTTCGATTAATTTTCGCTGGGTGTTTTTGGAGAGAAGTTCGATTCAATGGCGGTGTCGATGGGAATGATGGGTTCGTTCGGGTCGTGCTCGCCCCCTTCGCCGATGGGAAGAAAGGGGCGAGCTTTGAGAGGAGGGAGGAAGAGGGGTTGCGGATCCAACCCGGTGCATCCGAGACGGAGGTCAAGAAGGCTTTTCGGCAGCTCGCTCTTCAGGTGCCCGTTCTTTTTTCTATTTTTTTTATGCGGAATCTGTGGATATTATGGCATTTTTTGGGAGAAAAGAGGGGGTTTTAAAATTTATTTTGGGAGCGAAAATTGTTTTTTTTAATGATTTTCATTTAAGTTATTATGATTGTTTGTTTTGTTATGAAGTGGTTTTGGTATCTGACTTGTTTTTTTTTTTAATTTCTGTGATTGGATTATGTTAGAAGCGGGAAGCGTTTTATAATGGTGGATTTTGATGCGATTTAATCAATTCTTAAATGTTTTTGGGTATGAAAAAGAGGGATTTTGTTAGAAGTGATGAGAGATTAATGGGATTTTGGTAATTTTGTTTTGTTCTTTTTATTTGTTGTTTCCTCGGTGATGGGTTTTTTTGGAGAAAGGTGGCATCTTTATGGAATTTTAGTTGATGGGTTTATAGTTAGTTTAATAGCACTTATTACTCTAAAATCTCTTCTTTTTACTGAACTATTATCTGATTTATTTGCAGTACCATCCGGATGTGTGCAAAGGGAACAACTGTGGCGTTCAATTCCATCAGATCAATGAAGCTTATGATGTGAGTAGTGCAATTTGAAATTTATTTCCTTACTAGTTATTTTTTTTCCTAATTAAATTTATCTGGAGAAACAACAGTACTGGCTGTGATTAGGATTATGTTGTTGCAAAATGTTAATTTGGATAAACCTTATAGATTATGTTGTTAAAAGTTGTTAATTTGGATAAAATTTATATGGGATAATGCTGTCAACTGACTTCTTATCTTTAATGTAATAGTAAAAGTTTAATAAGGATAATAAAGTTTTCTGTTAGGATATATTATTGACTTTAGGAAACTTATCCTAACTGCTGACGAAATCTATTTCTATTTCCTAAACATTTTGCGTTAAGCAAATGTTGCATTTATCTGGTTCCAGTGCCATCCACCCCGAATCAATACCTTATGATCATGCTTCTGTAATCTTGGGACTGATAAACTGTTTCGAAACTCGGAAGTATTGTATGCGAACCTGTGAACTCCCAACGTGCATAGTTGTGTGATATTCTTTCATTCATCTCCCAATAATGGCGAATTCGGTGGAGGTTGATGAAGCAAACTATATAGGCATAATGTTGTGAATATGTGTGTACATCATGTTTTCGTTCCTCTGCGATCATGGTAACTGATTGAATGTGTGTTGGTGAAATGTTTTCAGATTGTGATGAATAGCTTGAGGGCATGTGATGAGGTAGAGCAATGGCGGATTGAGGACTGGAGCGACGACAGCGATGAGCCGGTGAGGGGGATGCATGACTCAGATTGGGACTTATGGGAGGAATGGATGGGATGGGAAGGAGCAGGAATCAGAGACTACTCTTCTCACATTAACCCTTACATTTGATCTCGAAGGACTTTGAACAACATAAATTTTTAGTTCCTTTGGCTTCCTCTGAGAAGAGAAATTATCTTCTCCCCAGAGCCAAAAGACCAATTAGCCAAGCAACCACGTGTACATAAGCACCCAATGTAAATATTGTTGGTCTTTATGTTATGTGATCTTTTCCTGAATTTTTAGGGAAATGTTCATAATCTCTATGTGATCTTTTCCTGAAGTTTAAGGAAATGTTAATGAAACTCTTTATGTTATCTTTTCCTGAAGTTTTTAAGGAAATGTCCCTTCTCTTTGAAGTTTCTTTTGTTGTCAGCTTTGATGTTCTTCATTGATGTGTATGGTAAATTCTGACTGTTGGAATTTTTTTCCCCCACAAAACAGAACCGTGAGATAAAAGTCCGATGTGCATCTCATTGAAAAGGTGTACCATATATTTGCAAATATTGGTGACATAAACTCCCCCACCCTACTCCCGTCAAAATAAAATAAAATAAAATAATAATAAATAAAGACCAAAAACTGGTTAGGCCCCGTTTGTGAAGAGGTCTTTGTTTGTTACAAGCAGTTGCTAGAGTTTAGGAGCTAGCTCAGTTTGCTTTGAGTAAGTCCTAGTCTCTAGGAATCAGTCAGTTTGGTTTGAATAAGTCCTAGTCTCTAGGAATCAGTCTTTGTTTGTTACAGGTAGTTGCTAAAAGTTAGGAGTCTAGCTCAGTGAGCTATTTTCTTGCATTCAGTTAAACTCTGTAAGGCTATTTAAACAGTCAATTCTCAATTCAATAAAAGATCAAGGCATTTTGCATCCAGTTTCGTGAGTTTAGTGTTTACACAAACCTTTAACTCTACAAACTGGTATCAGAGCCATCACTAGGCCTGATTATTTAAAGTAAGCTGCAGCTTAGAGAGAAAGAAAAGAGGGAAACACAGAGATGAGTGACGACAAGGTTCCCACAAAGATCCCTCACTTCGATGGTCTTCATTATGATCATTGGAGTGAATTAATGGAGAACCTTCTTCGTGCCAAAGGCTTATGGAGTCTCGTTGAGAATGGTTCCGAGGAACCACGTGCAGGGACAATACTGACAGACACACAACAAGAGCAGCTGGAGAATACCAGAATGAAGGATCATAAGGTGAAACACTATCTCTTCAGAGCTATTGACAGAGCCAATTTTGAGCAAGTTTTGGACAGGCGCACCTCTAAAATTGTTTGGGACTCGCTGAAGAGAAAGTTTGGAGGGAATGATCTTGTGAAGAAGAGGCGCACCTCTAAAATTGTTTGGGACTCGCTGAAGAGAAAGTTTGGAGGGAATGATCTTGTGAAGAAGTCACTTCTGAATTCATTAAGAAGAGACTTCGAGGTCCTTGCGATGAAAGAAACAGAAACTATTACGGAGTACTTTGCTAAAGTAATGGATGTTGCAAACAAAATGAGGAGCAATGGGGAGGAGATGCCAGACTCAAAAGTGGTGGAGAAAGTCCTTCGAACATTGACGGAGAGGTTTACCTATGTGGTAGTGTCCATTGAAGAATCAAAAGACACTGGTTCGATGTCCATTGATGAACTTCAAAGTTCTTTGGTTGTTCATGAGCAAAAGTTTAAAAGAACCAGCATATAGGTTGATCAAGTGTTGAAAGTTGAAAGCAGCAGTAGAGGCAGAGGAAGAGGACTGATCAGAGGTAGAGGGCGTGGCAGAGGACGTCAAACTTTCAATACAGCCACGATAGAGTGCTTCAAATGTCACAATTTGGGGCATTTTCAGTATGAATGTCCTAAATGGAACAAGAGCCACGATAGAGTGCTTCAAATGTCACAATTTGGGGCATTTTCAGTATGAATGTCCTAAATGGAACAAGGAAGCTAACTACGCACAACTGAATGAGGAAGAAGAATTGCTTTTGATGGCGTATGCAGAAGAACATGAAGCAAAGAGAAATGATGCGTGGTTTCTTGACTCAGGGTGTTCCAACCATATGTGTGGTGATAGAGGTATGTTCTCGAGCTTTGTTGATGGCATCAAACACTCTGTTTGTTCCAACCATATGTGTGGTGATAGAGGTATGTTCTCGAGCTTTGTTGATGGCATCAAACACTCTGTTGAACGTGGCAACAACACTAAGATGATAGTGGCAGGCAAAGGCAATGTAAGGTTGATGTTCAATGGCTACCATTTTGTGGTTAGTAATGTGTATTATGTTCCTGAACTTAGGAACAACTTGTTGAGTGTGGGACAATTGCAGGAAAAGGGGCTTGCTATTCTAATAAAAAATGGAGCATGTAACATCTATCATCCGTACAGAGGACTCATTGCACGCGCTGAGATGAGTGCTAATCGTATGCTTATCTTACTCAACGAAAGATGCACTGCCACCATATCTATCACAGAAGAGTGCATGCATACCAGCGTTGATTCCACATACTTATGGCATCAACGATATGGCCACCTGAGCTTCAAGGGATTGAAGACTTTACAATTCAAAAGGATGGTGCACGGACTACCTCAATTGGGAGATTCATGTATGTTTTCGTCAAAAGTTGGTTTCATTGTGGAATTCATTATATCTTCGGTCGATTACAACAAATTCGAAAGAAATAGTCTTTTTATAAGACTTCTCTTACACAACAAAAGGAAAATTATAACTTTTTAGAAACAAACGCAGGATCGTTGTTTGGATCACTGCTTGCGTGGGATCTTTGCCTGTGTCGGGAGCGCTTTGACTCGTGGACCACCGATTCACAGATTCTGATTGAATCGTGAAGGCTTTGGGAATTCTTCCTTCGTTTATCGAAGTAGGAATTTGAAAGCGAGTATCTTATCGATGTAAGATATTCACTCTTCCAAAGATCAAGTCTGAGCTTAGATCTCTAGGAATCACCAAATGATGCTTGTCAAAGGGTGAAAGTTCTCTTTTTCTTCCTTAAAATCACCAAAAGCTCAAGCCTTTTCTGCTCCAATTTGCTCTATGTCCTTTATTTCGTGTCTAGGGAGGTATTTATAGGGATAGGAGTGCACAACAGTTGAAACGGGGGTAAAATAACTGACCGGGTGCCTGTTTTTTGGTCGCTGCAGTCGACACTGCCGCGGCTATTGGGGCGGCAGTGCAGTTACCAGCACGTTTCATCGTGCTTGAAACCGTTCTCCCACGACCTTTAACCACCTTTTTCGTGGTTTAACTGCTTGTACACGTCAGTGTAGGGTGTAAATTTGATTTCCCGAAAACAGGGAGTTTCGTTTGTATTGATAAGAAAGCTTATTACAAACTAATAATCAAATGTTTACAACAGAAGCAGAGGGAATGCCCTCTTTGTTTAGTGTGGGGACTTTAGGTGGCTATAGGACGCTTCGCTCGATGCTTATGTCGAGTCTGCTTCCCTTGGACCATTCGATCGAGGTTGCTGGAGAGCTTCAGTATGCAGTAGAAGCTCGAGTCAATGGAGTTCGGGTCTGCTTAGTTCGCCGGCGATCGGAGCTCAGAACTAGGCAGTGGTGCTGTAATGCAAGGATTATGCGAACAGCTTGGTCTCGACTGCTCTTCTCTAAGTTTTTCGACCTCTCTCAAAGTTTGCTGGAAGCGGCTTTTAAATGGAAGAAGGACAGCTTGACTGCTCCTTGAATTATGGGATATGACCATACATTGTTCGGAGATATCCTGCTGCCCATTCGTACCGCCAGTGGTCATTCGAAGAGCTGTGCTCTGTGTCACGTCACGTAGGAGTAGGAAAGCCTCTCCTCGTATGTGTGACAACGGCTGTCGGATGCTTGCGTGGATCTGACCAACCACCGAGCGCCGGCGGCTCTTGCTCGTTGCTTGGACAACTGAGGTGAGTCGCATTTATGAGAGTGCAGGCTGCTTTGACATCTGTCTGCTCACTCGTACTGTGGGCGGCTGTTCGGCGGGCCTGGAGTGCCGTGCCTTCTCTCTTCAGGTCAGGAGAGGCGGGAAAGCGTGTTCCTGGTACTCGAGTGGGTTTGGACAGTTCGCCGAACGCCGGCGGATTCGTCTCCCGACTTAGATAGCCGATGTGAGTCGCATTTATGACTGTTCAGGTCGACTCGATCCGTGTCAGAGAACTGGGCGTGCGAACTCTTCTCGTAGACAAATTCCCTGTAGACCCATAGAGGTATTTTTTACCGTCTACAAGACCCCCTTCAAAGTTTTCAGACCTAAACCGGCTTGTGTGTGGTCTGGAATACTTTGAATGAAGAAGCTTTTGGTGAAGTAAGCGCACTTGGTTTCTTTTAGGATTTTTAGCAAACCCTCAGCTATCAACGGGTTTGATGTGCCTTTACCGATTAAACTTAGCTAATGTCGTGCGCGTCATGACTAAACTAAAAACTTATGTAAATACAAGGCCCGTGATGGCTCTTTTCCTTTGCTTATCTCTGCTTCCCACTGTGGTCGCCATCTTCTGTAGGGTGTAAATTTGATTTCCCGAAAACAGGAAGTTTCGTTTGTATTGATAAGAAAGCTTATTACAAACTAATAATCAAATGTTTACAACAGAAGCAGAGGGAATGCCCTTTTTGTTTAGTGTGGGGATTTTAGGTGGCTATAGGACGCTTCGCGTTCGATCGAGGTTGCTGGAGAGCTTCAGTACGCAGTAGAAGCTCGAGTCGATGGAGTTCGGGTCTGCTTAGTTCGCTGGCGATCGGAGCTCAGAATTAGGCAGTGGTGCTGTAATACAAGGATTATGTGAACAACTTGGTCTCGACTGCTCTTCTCCAAGTTTTTCGACTTCTCTCAAAGTTTGCTGGAAGAGGCTTTTAAATAGAAGAAGGACAGCTTGACTGCTCCTTGAATTATGGGATGTGACCATACATTGTTCGGAGGCTTTTAAATAGAAGAAGGACAGCTTGACTGCTCCTTGAATTATGGGATGTGACCATACATTGTTCGGAGATATCCTGCTGCTTGACTGCTCCTTGAATTATGGGATGTGACCATACATTGTTCGGAGATATCCTGCTGCCCATTCGTACTACCAGTGGTCATTCGAAGAGCTGTGCTCTGCGTCACGTCACGTAGGAGTGAGAAAGCCCCTCCTCGTATGTGTGACAACGGCTGTCGGATGTTTGCGTGGATCTGACCAACCATCGAGCGCCGGCGGCTCTTGCCCGTTGCTTGGACAACTGAGGTGAGTCGCATTTATGAGAGTGCAGGCTGCTTTGACATCTGTTTGCTCACTCGTACTGTGGGCGGTTGTTCGGCGGACCTGGAGTGCCGTGCCTTCTCTCTTCAGGTCAAGAGAGGCGGGAAAGCATGTTCCTGACACTCGAGTGGGTTTGGACAGCTCGCCGAATGCTGGCGGATTCGTCTCCTAACTCAGTCAGCCAAGGTGAGATGCATTTATGAATGCTCAGGTCGACTCGACACCTGTCCAGTCCTTCGAAGCTCACAGAGGTATATTTTACCGTCTACATAGGCGAGCTCTTCCCATCAAATGGTGTGAAGTTAATCAGATTGAACTTTGCCGGGTATGGTATTGAATCCCATTCTCTTGGATAGGGACACGGAATACCCGTCTTCTTTACTTCCTGAGCGGACATCAAAGCATTGACTTTGTTTTCAAGGTCTTGCATTTTCTTGTCCTCATCTTCATCTCTCTTTGAGTGATGTTGAGCAGAAATAATTGGGCCACCCCCAGTGTTACTAAGCGGTGCAATTGAACCACCCCCAATATTGTTATTGGGAGGATCTGTTGAACCACCCCCATCGTTATTGTCATTAGAAGGTGTATCAGCCATAATGACTTCATCCACTTCTGGATCACTGTCATCTACAACATTCTGAGTGTGGCGGCTGGATTCAGCTCGCTGACTGGACTAAGAAGGTTGAGGTCGTTGAGTTAGCAATTCTCTCATTTGTTGGATAGCTAACTCCATCTCTGTCTTCATCTCAGCTCTAATTTCTTCACATTGCTTCACTAGAGCTTCCTGAAGTATTTGGGCAAATTGATCAGAGGTGATCGTGAGTACTTCTCTGGTTTGCCCTGTGCTAGATATGGTATCATCCGAAGCGATCGCAGAACAAGTGTCCGAGAGTTCATCCTCCGAGGACATTCCTTCTTGCATTTTTTTGTAATCTCTACGTCTGATAGCTGCTAACTGGAGTCTAGACATCCGTTGGGCAATTCTTGAATTGACTTTTCCTCCTGTGGAAAAGTCTGGGTTTGATTCATTTGAACGCCGCTTAGACTTTCCTTTATCAGCCATATTGATGGTGACTTTAGGGAATTCATCCTCTTGAATAGTAAACTTCTTGCTGAAACGTCTCGGCCTGGGCTTTGACATTTCGGTGAAAAGCCTCTGGAACACTGAGACTCTTTGCGGGATGACTTCTCGTTTGGCGTAGTTATATTTCGACAATACTGCTCTAATGAGTCGTGCACAGGAACAATGAGAGCTTATTTCTCGAATAACTCTCTTTCGAAATTTATTCACACCCCCCAACTTGATAATACGATTCATCGGTATGATTGCCAAAAAATCGTATCGTCTGTTGGCATGACCTCCCAGGTATGACGATGTCATTTGGTGAATGCGTCTTCTTCTGGAGGTGTAAAACCTTGTTGGCATTCTTAGGATAATTTATTACTGTCTTTGAGCGATCCAATGTT